GGACAGCTGGCTCCATGTCCATAGGTGTGACAGCTGCTGTCACCATCGCTGTCATCTTCTGTATCAGCCTCGTCCTCTTCATAGCCATTCAGGTAAAGGTCCACGCTTGATAACATTACTTTTTTCAAATTAACACCATGTGACACAAATAACACTGAAACGCAACAGTTCCTGAAAATAGTCAAACGTTATACTAGGTATTATTCTATGAACGAAGAGGTTTGGACCAAAACTACGCTCTTCTGATGTTAGGGAACATTGAATCTTGCAAATTGTTCTTCCAGTTTTTGATTTCTGCTGCCAGTTGATCCAATTAAATTCTGTCAATGGCGTCACTGTGAGCATGTTTTTCCTTTGTTTGCTTCTCAAATGAACGTCTTTCACAAGCCGAGCTGTGATGCTAGGTTCTGAATTGTGACGTCATTGACAGAATTTAATTAGATTAACTGGCGACAAAAATCAAGAACTGATTTGCAAGATTCTTGCAAACTGAATGATTTGCAAAATTCAATGTTCCCTATCATCAAAATAGTAGTAACTGTTTGTGTCCCAACCTCTTTGTTCATTGAAAATACCTTTGACTATTTTCAGGATCTGTTGTATTTTATTGTTATTAGTGTCATATGGTCTTTAATGTTCCACTTGCTCCCATGTGGTGTAAGGCACCAGACAGATAGAGAGGTCCAGACCCTTGGGGAGCAATGTGGAGAGAGGTGAATTCATTCCTGGCAGGAAGATCCTAGTTTCATAGAAAAGTTGATCACAATTTCCTGTTGACTGTCCTTCCACCTCATGCAGCATCTGGCATCTGTTAATGGCTCATTTTACTGGACCTGTTGGAGACATACTGGGTGGTTGGCCTCTGTTCAATGCCCCAGTTAGGCCCGATTTAGACTAGAAACGGTATACCGTTTCGCCACAGAAAACGGTTCGTCTTTAGACACAGAGGCGGAAGCGTTTCGGGCCGCCCGTGGCGCAGGATGTTTCTGACCCACAGTGACCTATGATGACCTCCCCAAACCGCTTCTACGGTTTGCCTCATTGGCCTTACGATACTTATGTTTCAGGGCATTGAACTTCGCCCGAACCTGCTTTGGGGTGCGTAAATACCCCTCAGCCGCCAGCCCGTCCACAAGCATCTGTATGCCCTCCCTACGCGAGGTCTCCAAGCGGAATTGTATAGTTTGATCGGCCCACAAGCTGATAAAGCAGCGGATCTCTTCTTGGGTCCAGACCCTCCCCTGGCCTTCTGCCATCCCCCCAGACATAAAGGATGACGAAAATTCGAGAAATACATGATATAAAATGGCGAAAATGGACACAATCGAATATGGCGCGAATCTACCAGAAAATGGACGCGCGCGGGCG